TATATATATATATATATATACATAGCTGTTGAGTTGATTCCAACTTATAGGATCCCTGGTGGCACAGTGGTTAAGAGCACAGCTGCTAACTGAAGGGTCAGCGTTTAAACCCACCAGCGGTTCTGTGGGAGAAAGATGTGGCAGTCTGATTCCATAGAGATTATAGCCTTGGAAGCCCTATGTGGCAGCTCTATTCTGTCCTATAGGACAGAAGCAGAAAAATGAGTCATACTAGTACTTGACTGTACTTGATCTAAATCCAAAGCAGAAAATAATGAAGCCCATTAAGAGGTATTTATGAGTCATTAGTTTACGCTTTCATTTTTGGATTGGAAATGAAGAGAAAGACAAGAAAATTGGTTCCTGCTTTTGTCAGGAATTATTAAGCCTGTTTCTCTGAATGCACAGCAAACAATCTAATGATGTAAATGCCATGTCCTTTAGCATTTCTCTTCATTTGGAATGAATTAAACAGCCCAATGGCAAAAAGCTAGGCCTATCAGCAAATGGACCTATTTCCAAATAGGAATTTTGACGTGTAATTCTACCCGCTAAAAATTATGAAAATTCACGGCAATAACACCTCAGGGTCCAGCACCATGCCTGGTACATTAAATATTTGCCAAATGAGTGGAGTTCATTGTACTCCTTCAGAAATCAGGAGCATAGGCATCTTCCTGCTCATTAGTACCTGTGATTCCTTTAGTCCCAAATTGATGGCAAGTTTCTTTCGGTCTGTTTTGCTTATATATTTCTGCTTCTGAAACATTTTCTCCAGAGCCTTCCTCTGGTCTTCAGAAAAGACTGCTCTTCTTAAAATGCCCCTCCGAGCTTTGGAATTAGAGTCCTGTGTCAGGAGAGGCAGTACACTGTCTTCTCCTGGAGGGAAAAAAACAAGAGACACAAAGCCCAGTTATCAGCTTCAAAGAGGAGAAGCCGTCTATCTTTCCCATGACAGTATCATGGACCTATTATCTCTTCTCTGAACTCTGCACACTTAGAGTAATTCTTTTTAACCTCTTTGGTCATACACTCCATTGAGAATCTGATGAAAGCTCTCTGCTTTTTGGGGGTCTCTCTCCTCTGCCCAAACTGCTTCTTTACTCAGGTATGAATGATCAAGTTGAGAAGGAAGAAATATTTATAAACATAGCTGGGTACCCTTTCTGTGATGACAGACTTCTGTACTCTGTCCTGGTTCGGTCTATGAGCCTGAACTATTACATGCTATTTCCTACACAGCCTGTAACCATGTCCTCAAATTCCAGAGTGCCCTTTTGCTCGATATTTTGATTCTGGCATTCTTAATTTATAAATGTATCCAACCTGTCATTATCCAACTGCCATATGTATTAAAAATTGGGGGGGAGGGGAACACATGAATGTCCAAAGGTAAAGAAATGCATAGACTAATTATTATATCCAGTCTATTAAATTTCACAGAACAATTAAAGATGAAGACTATGAAGATCAGGCAGCAACACAGAAAATACTTATGCTATAATTTTTTATACACACTATGCTTACAACTAAGTAAAAATGCAGAGAAAAAAGACTGAAAAGGCAAAAATAAACACTAAGATAGGTTATTGTCACAGAATTATAAGGAGCCCCGGTGGTGCAATGGTTAAGCGCTGGGCTGCTAACCACAGCCGCTCAGTGGGAGAAAAGACCTGGTGATCTGTTCCCATTAAGATCACAGCCTAGGAAACCCTATGGGGCAGTTCTACTTTGTCATATAAGGTCAATAAGAGTTGGAATAGACTTGACGACACACAACCACAACGCAGAATTATTGACGAAGAATTTCTCTCCACTGTCTACGTTTTAAGTCTGGTTCTATTTTCTAATAAAAATGAGCAAATATTGTAGCAACCTTTTTGGAAATGAACTGGCAGTGGACTGAGTTAGTGAGTTTCTGCTAAGTGATGATCAAAGGTGAATACAATCCATCCGTCAGGTGCTCACGGTTGATAAGGTGAGACATTAGAAGAATACAAACAGCCACAATCAGCAGAACACAGCCAGAGGGCATTTATATCCAGCTAAGAAGTCATGGAGTCTGGAGGCCAACAGAGCAGGCCCTAAAAAAGAGGAGCAGTTAGAAGAATGCAGTTCCTCTTTGTGGTAGTCTAGAAAAAGGCAGACAGAGCAGAGGGACTGACATTTACAGGGCCATGTAGCAGTATGAAACATGGTGGATCTAGCAATCTCACAGAGTCTGGTATTTCCAGATTTTAGGGTATGAGTAGGAAGATCGCAGGAGATCAGCTGGGAAGGTAGACTAAGGCCTGTGGCAACTGAAACAGTGTGAGGTTATAACGTGCCACGGTGGGAATCCCTTCAAGAAGTTCCTGACTAACCTAGCATTTTAGAAAGAAAAAATATTTTCTGAGTTAATAAACTACTTTATATCAATATAAACTAAAACCAAACCCATTGCCATCAAGTCGATTCCAACTCATAGCCACCCTACAGGATTCTAAAACAAATTTACGGACCTATAAATCTAGGCAAAAAAAAAAATCTACATATCTTTTTTTTTCAGTAGAAGTTTTATAAGTAGGGTTCATGATTCTGTTGTTTTTAGCCCCTTCTTCGCCAAGATCTACACATTAAAATAAAACAATGGGGAAATAAAACACATTTAAATGCCCCTAAAATTTTAAATAGAAACCAATACATTTTCTTAATGAGTTATTTTTAAGTAACGAGAAAAAGGATTCCCATTAAAGGAATCTACAAATAAATTGCTCTCTCCAGTGTGACATACACTAACATTTTGGAGGTCATGGATCAAATCAAACCTCAGTCTCTAAAGTAGATATCTGAAGTGACTGTGAGGGTCAAAGTGTTAACTCCCGCATCTAACCCTCAGGTTCCAGTTCCCTATAACAAACCTGAATACAACCAAAGGATGAGTAAAAAATATGACAAGCATTGTTAGCTGCCATTGAGTCAATTCTGACTCATGGCAACCCCATATGTGCAGAGTAGAACTGCTCCATAAGGTTTTCAAGGCTGTGCCCTTTTAGGAGCAGATATCCAGGCCTGTCTTCCAAGGCACGTCTGCATGAGTTTGAACTGTCATAAAGAATATCAAATTCTTCTCTTCTTTGCTAATTGTCCAGTTTTTCTTAGCACTGCTTTCAATACACAAACCTTGCTTGTTTTCATAAAATGACCTACCTCAAGTTCCTACAAGAAGCATACTACGATGCTGTTATTACTGCCTTGGGTCTTTCTTGGGCTATCCCTAGATCTAACCACAAAACACAGAGATGAAACCACATCCTTTTCTTTCTTTTTTTAATCTTTTCCCCATACAAAAATTTATACATACATTGTTATGTGACTCTAATTGCTCTCCCCATACTGTGACTGCACACTATTCCTTTCCACCCAATTCCCCATGTCCATTCATCTAGCTCCTAACCCTCTCTGCCTTACCATCTCCCCTCTGGACAGAAGCTGTCCATTTAGTCTCATGTATCTACTTGAGCTAAGAGGCATACTCCTCATGAGTATCACTTTATGTCCCACAGTCCAGTCCAATCCCTGTCTGAAGAGTTGGCCTAAGAAACTGTTTTAGTTCTGGGCTGATAGAGAATCCTGGGGCCATGCTTTCCAGGGTTCCTCCAGTCTCAGTCAGACCATTAAGTCTGGTCTTCTTACTAGAATTTGAGTTCTGCACCCCACCTTTCTCCTGCTCCATCGGAGACTCTCTGCTGTGTTCCCTGTCAGGGCAGTCATTGGTGGTAGCCGGGCAACATCTAGTTCTTCTGGTCTCAGGCTGATGAAGTCTCTGGTTTATGTGGCCCCTTCTGTCTCTTGGCCTAACACGTTCTTTGTGTCTTTGGTGTTCTTCATTCTCCTTTACTCCAGGTGGTTGGGACCAATTGATGCATCTTAGATAGCTGCTTGCAAGCTTTTCAGACCCAACACACCGCTCACCAAAGTAGGATGCAGACAATTTTATTAATGAGCTTTGTTATGCCAATTGACCTAGATGTCCCCAGAAAGCACAGTCCCCAGACGCCTACCTCTGCTACTCTGTCCCTCAAAGTGTTTGACTGTATTCAGGAAACTTCTTAGCTTTGGTTTAGTCCAGTTGTGCTGACTTCCCCTGCAGTGTGTGCTGTCCTTCCCTTCATCTAAGATAATTCTTATCTACTATCTAGTTAGCAAATAACCCCCACCCTCCCTCCCCACCCTTGTAACCATCAAAGAATGTTTTCTTCTGTGTTAAAACTTTTTATTGAGTTCTTACAATAGTGGTCTTATACAATATTTGTTCTTCTGTGACTGACTAAACTCACTCAGCATAATGCCCTCCAGATTCCTCCATGTCTTAAGATGTTTCACGACTTCATCGTTGTTCTTTATCATTGCATAGTATTCCATTGTGTGGATATACTATAATTTGTTTATCCATTCGTCCACTGATGGGCACCTAGGTAGTTTCCATCTTTTTGCTATTGTGAACAGTGCTGCAAGGAACATGGGTGTGCATATATCTATTCATCTGACAGCTCTTATTTCTCTAGGATATATTCCAAGGAGCGGGATAGCTGGATCGTACGGTACTGCTATTAAGAGCTTTTAAAGGATGCACCAAATCGATTTCCAAAGTGGTTGTATCATTTTACATTCCCACCAACAGTGTGTAAGTGTTCCAGTCTCTCCACAACCTCTCCAACATTTATTATTTTGTGCTTTTTGGATTAATGCTAGCCTTGTTGGTGAGATGATACCTCATTGTAGTTTTGATCTGCATTTCTCTAATGGCTAATGATCATGAGCACTTTGTTATGTGTCTGTTAGCCTCCTGAATTTCTTTGGCGAAGTGCCTGTTCATATCTTTTGCCCATTTTTTAATTGGGTAGTTTGTCTTTTTGTTGTTGAGGTTTTGCAGTATCTTGGAGACTTTAGAGACTAGATGCTGATCAGATTTGTCATAGCCAAAATTTTTTTCCCAGTCTGTAGGTTGACTTTTGACTCTTTTGGTGGTCTTTTGAAGAGTATAAGCGTTTGATTTTTAGGAGCTCCCATTTATCTAATCTCTCTTCTAGTGCTTGCGCATTGTTACTTATGGTTCATATTCTGTTTATGCCACGTATTAGGGTTCCTATCACTGTCCCTGTTTTTTCTTCCATGATCTTTATTGTTTTTGATTTTATATTTAAGTCCTTGATCCATTTTGAGTTAGTTTTTGTGCATGGGGTGAGGTATGGGTCTTGTTTCAGTTTTTTGCAGATGGCTACCCAGTTATGCCAGCACCATTTGTTAAAGAGACTGTCTTTCCCCCAATTAACAGACTTTGGGCCTTTGTCAAATATCAGCTGCTCACAGGTGGATGAATTTATGTCTGGATTCTCAATTCTGTTTCGTTGGTCTATGTATCTGTTGTTGTACCAATAGCAGGCTGTTTTGACTACTGTGGTGGTATAATAGGTTCTAAAATCAGGTAGCGTGAGGCCTCTCGCCTTGTTCTTCTTCTTCAGTAATGCTTTACTTATTTGGGGCCTCTTGCCTTTCCACACGAAGCTGCTGATTTGTTTCTCCATCTCCTAAAAAAATGCCGTTGGAATTTGGATCGGGATTGCATTGTATCTGTAGATCGCTTTGGGTAGAACTGACGTTTTTACAATGTTGAGTCTACCTATCCATGAGCAAGGTATGTTTTTCCACTTATGCAGTTCTCTTTTGGTTTCTTGCAGTAGTGTCTTGTAGTTTCCATTGTATACGTCTTTTATGTCTCTGGTTAGATTTATTCCTAAGTATTTTATCTTCTTGGGGCTGTTATAAATGGTATTGATTTG